CGATTGGCTGTGGAGGTCTAGGGTGGGTAGTACATACGAAATTTATTGAGATTGGTACATGTCGAACGTAGATGAACATCAGGTTATGATGGCGTGTTATAAATGACTGTGACTCGACACTTTATATTGGTGACACGTCTGCCCGTTGTAAGACGACCGTCATCTTAAGTGCATAAACTATATTGTGATTTGTAAGGCACTGTTATTTATGTTATTCAGTAAGAAAATACCCACATGTACCGGATTGTTATTAGTAAATACTTACCTTGTAAGAGTTGTACTTACATATTTAGGTTTATTTATATTGAATTTATATGTACTGGAGAATTATTTTATTTCACTTGTAATGGTGGTTGTTTTAGTAATATTTTCGATATTGTGTTTTTATGTATTCGTCGTCTAAAATTTTAATTTATATATGTATGGTCGATGTTTTATACGTCCAAATTCACCTTAATGTTGCCTTTACTTATCCGGAATACCACCACGTTTAGGAACGGATAATGGAAAAGAGTCAGAAAAAGAATGTCAGAAGCAGTGAAACAGACAGGAAAAGGAGTGAAACAGACAGGGAAGACATGTGGAAGAGAACAGAAGTGATCTCGGAAGTACGGAGTAGTAACGACCATGACGGTGAGCCTTGACAGTGACGGAAGTGGAGAAGGAGGTGAAGGTGTGTGAAGGACTGTTTTGCACTTCTCCCGGGACCGAGACAATCTCACCGATGTACTTGTACTACTACTTATCATAAGAAATTATAATCATAGATTATAGTATTGGTTTTACAACCACTACATTGTTAAAATAAAATGGATATGTCCTGACAGTGAGTTGCGAAGTTTGAGATTTATTGAGTTCGTCAAAAAACAGATAATCAGTCACCGATACACCCTTATGACACAAACTTTACATATTAATTAATCTACAATCGAAAAACAAAACTATATATATATTAACACAACATAAGGTCAGAGGGAAGTCTATACAATTCACCGTACAGTAAGTTGTGTTACGACGAGTGGAGGAAGTCAACCCTCTTTTCGACCAAGTCCAAAGTCGGAATATCCCCCTGTCCCGACGACTCGGACCTTCTACCTATACACCAAGGACCGTGGTCCCCCCTCCCTGTTGAACTAAATCATACTATCGACTATTGTACATGGACGTAAAATTAAGTCGATTTTCTCGTTCACTTTAACCTTTTTGGAGACTTAAAAAAGACACTTCTATAATTGTCACGGAGAATTACAGTCGAATCATTTTTTTTTTTAATGTTGCAATGTTACCTGATGCAAATCGATTGTCTGATTTAAGGTGTGAGGTACCGGTGTGGTGGCGTAGACGAATTAAACTGTGAGGAGTGACGAAAGTAGACGATCTTTTCACGACGCAATACCTCCGTCCTCAGAAATCCTGGGGTTTGGTACATGTACATTTATCTCCCCCACATGTCTCCGAAACTATTACCTAGAAAACCTTCTTTAATTCAATTTACTTAGCATTCAAATCATATCGTGATGATGTGTTATATTGCATATTAATTACAATTAATAAATACTTTCCCATAATGTAAAGAAATTACAAGATTTGTAAACCCGGGGGACCGATCAGTACCGGGAATCTTAGCAGGATTGGAAAAGTGGGGGAATGCCGCGGGGACCGTACGCGTTCGTCAACCCCCCTGTCACCGGCCGTGAGTGTACAGAAGAGGTATATTGCACGACCTCTAATGAGAGGCATACCCTTTCATTAAGGTTGTGAAGCGGGGCAACGACATGTTAGTTGACACAAACTAAGCTTGTCGTTGTTTCGTCGCCGCCGGGATGTTATTTAGCGGTCCCTCAACATGCTAGTCGCGTCGAACGGACTTGTGGGTGGTCTCGTAGGATAGGTAGTCGGTTTCCTGCCTACAAGCAACCACACATCCCTTTTCGGAACCCTGGTCATGGCACGGGACGAGAGCACGACAACAAGGAGGTCGATAACCGACTGTCCTTAATCCGAATATCGTGCTAGTTTTGTATCGACGACGTCTGAGTCTTGGGACACAGTGCGCGAAACCGCGGAGTTACCCAAAACCGAAATCACAATGCGCGTGACTCATTTCGAGTAAACTTGGAAATCTAGTCCAAGGGGACTTCAAAAACAGTCGGTTCATCGAGACGAGAACCGAGACTGGTAGTCGATTGTCCCACTTACTAAACAGACGAGAGAAACACCGAGGCAGTACAGAGGCCTAGGTTCCTCTACCTCGAGTCGACAAAACGCGGGATTGGGCCGAAAATACGTTTCCAGTAGTGTTGAGAAAATCCAGTTCTCACAGGGAACCTACCGAAGAAAGGAGGAGGAGTGTGTTAGTCTCCTTCTTCGGTGTAGAAGAAACGAAATGGGTAAGGGTCAAACACGTAATGTCCTCTCGCGAGTTATGTCAGGGAGATAGACGGTCCGGACAGTGTGACCGACACACTCCGACACATGTCCGATACAGAGGAGACCCACCTAGGGGGCTGTTGTAGTTCGCGTGTAGTGGTCTCCTTAAAGTTGGATATCCGACACAACGGTGCCTCCTTACTGTCACCTCTGTAAACGTGACGACTACAGAACCAGAAGGGGGACAAGACATTTAGTGGCATGCGGCAGGAAGTGAAGTAGGTTTTTCCGATATTTGAACAACTCTCTGGCAAGGGGAGGAGCTTACTCTAATCATCAAGACCATTATTAGGTACTGTACCGACTCAAGAACTAAACCCTTGGTTGGCGTGGCCTGGGCCTGGTGATGGAGGGGCCCAATTTGTTATCTTTTCACGGGGCCCAAAATCCCTGGCGGCACCCCTGGCGACATGCACGTTCCTCTGCTCAGGGGCACCCCCACTGACAGGACGTGGAGATTTTTCCAGTAGGTTAAATCCAAACCCACGGCCGGAGGAATGTACACCATGCGTCTCCTCTGACGCACGGGTTCGATACGCAGGCGAATAAACCACCTCTGGAGTCCCCTCACTGTGAAGGAGACCCAGGCGAATCTCCACGTGACCAGCTGATATCATGTCCAACAGCTGCATCACGGAAGGGCTGTCACCGCCCCGCGGGGTGTGACGCGCCGGAGGACAGCTGTCAGAGCTGCCTAAAAACCAATAGGTTTTAAAGACAGCCGACACACCTTGAGCTCCGGTCGTAACTCTTGTCGGGTTGACACCGGGCCACCGCCCTGTCTCCCTTGTCCGGAGGAGAGGGAGGATGGGGCCAGGGGAACCACCAGGAATGTTTGCTTTCTAGTAAACAGCTCTGAAAAGAGCTTGTGCCTGTACAGTGCTTCTGCAACGGAGTGCTGAAGAAAAGTGGGAGCAGATTGTAGGGAATACTTCTTATTTATACGGAAGTGAGTCCGTAGGGGGGGCCCACGTCATAGGTGGGCATGGATTAAATCTGTCAGTGCTGCACACGTGTAGTGGGATTACCCAATAGCGATAGTCTTAGAGGGCGAAGCCTTATATGATATAGAACTTCTCTACAATGAAGCACATCAAGTGAAGGGAGAGAAACAGACTGACACTGTTCAATATCATGCAAATCGGATGTACAAATGTTGATATTGACATTCAGTCTATTGTGCAGCAGCAGGAGAGGCCAAACATATCTCATTAAGATGTACAGCTTACTGATCCAGCTGTGGGTGAAGGTCAGAAAAATGCATATGTTCATGGTTTTATGTAATGGAATGTGAGGGAAGAGTAGAAACACAATACAAAGATGAATATTAGTTGTTAAACTCAGTGTTGGTGTTTGGTACAATAAACGTTTATTGCCAGTATATATCTAGTTCTCTTCATTAAATTAGCTATTCAAATGTTGTGGATATAGTATCCTGCCGATGGAAGTGCATGGTCACAAAGTGGTAGTGAGGAAAAAAATGTTTTGGCCCTCACTATCCTCAAAGTTGCCCATCCCTGGTCTACACACATACATGTCCTCTTACCCTGTCCACCATGAAGTCAATTGCATCTGCCATTTTGGGGTCCACAGGTCCTTTAGCAAAGTTCCCCAGAACAATCTTCTTCAACATGAACGCTGGCATCAACCAGAAACTGGAGGGACATGCAGACATTAATATGAATGAACTTAAACACGGAGAGGTAGGTGTGTGATGGAATCTTTAACGCACCTGTTTGCTGTCCACATCTGGTTAAAGATGGAGGTGTCACTGAATGAATTACACAGGATGAGAGAGTGCACTCTGGGAGACTTGTGTGTGCACTCTGCAAACTTCTGAGCCAAGAACCCCCCCAGGGACGCTCCGAACAGATGGACCTGCAGAGTCAGGGGACACACCATCATTATATAAGAGGGGTGACTAACCTGCGTTATTTACAGTCCTATAGAGAGTTACAAGAATGAGTCCCAAAACTGGGAAATGAGTCAGCATTTTAGCTGGTTGACATTTTTAATGGTGAATGTCTAAAGCCTTTATGTTTCTTATTAAAAGCGGTTGCTATCAAATGTCTAAATAAGACTACTAAAGGTCATCATACTGAACTTTAGCCTCCTTGTGAAGTCACGTGACCTTGCTGTAGTTCCTTTATAGCCTTACGTTAGCTTTTTACTTCAGAAATCATAAAGTGGTGTTAATATGTGGAGATTATCCTGCTGAACTCAACTTGTAAGTATCATAAACATGTGTTTGACACAGAGATTATGTACAGCAACTATCCAAAATCACATGGAAAAATCCTGTTGCCAATGGTTTGTATTGGCTTGTAAGCAGCGGGCAAACAAAGAACCCCTCCGAGCAGTGTGGCCCCCCTGCATTTTTATATGTCAGGATTTAAAGTCCACTTTCAGTGTGTCCCTTCTGCTGTTCTGGTGTGAGTGTGTCTGTTTCTTTATCTGTGCTAGATCACACACACATTAACAATCATGGGTAAAGAAAATAATAATGCTCAGCTCTGAACGAAAACACAGACTTACTTTATCTAACTGCAGGTGATCGAGAAGCTTCCGGAAGCCGTCACAGAACTCCATGAGATCCCAGTACACAGGATACTGCAGCTGGAAGCACACACACAACATATCAACACCAGACATTTACACACATCTATCCAGGACAATATGCTAACTAATAATTCAAATAATCAATGCGTTTATAGAGTGGTGCAGTGATGATGTGTAGGCCAAACCGGAAAGTTAGCATCAGTAGGGCTCCATCAACAAAAAGCAATGGGATTTTCAATTGGAGTTTGGATTATTGCAGAAAATAAGAGCTTTGGCAAAAATCACCACCGCTAAGCTAAAGGCGGATTATGTTCACTGTAATGACGTTTAGTAGTCTCATTTAGACACTAAATTTCAGAAATTTGACAGTGGGGTACTATCTGACAAATGTTATGTTGAAGAACAACATGTAAAGATATTTAAAGCTTGTGTTAACCACAGATATTTGTTCAGGCATCTAACCAAACACATCTTCAAAAAAACATTCGTAAAACAAGGGAATCAGAAGTGAAATAATGCTGACTAATTTCCAGGTTTTACAACTCGTTGCTGCACCGCTCTAATAACACAAAATGTATCAACTATTTTGATCTTCAGAATTGTTGGCATTTCTGCCCCATTAAGCTCTGAGAAACTTAAGATAGACAATCCTCATAAAATGTATGGACAAGACAACAATTCGGAGATGAATGGAGACTAATCCAGAAGGAAAATAAGCATACGTTTTATAAAGCTGTATAATTGGAAGCTAAGTTTTGAGTGGCGCTCACCGAGATGACCCTGTAGCCCCACCCTGTCAGAGCCAGCACCTGCTGGAAGAACACCTCAGCTGTCCCACTGACGGGGGGCAGCAGGATGATGGGACACCTGATGCTCTTGGGGCCGGCGTCATACAGCGACCACACCTTACTGTCATCATCATCCACAATGATCTGGTGGTAATACAAACACAAGGTGAGGAAAATAGATACTAATTTATGAAAACTAAACAAACTCTTTACTTCATGGTTAAAAAATAAACGTGACAAAGACTAATTTTCACCCACTGGCCTTATGACTCGATTAACAATACTGAACATATTCAGACTGTACCTGATGCAAAACAATATAAAGAGGAACTGGGGAGGCCTGGCTGCAACATGATCAACAAGCATGATCAACAAAAACAGCTATATCATGTCCTGAAATACCTGCATTTGTTTGTTTTGTGATATCTCAGATACTTTGACCTGATTGGGCTCTAAAGTCATCACAGAGAATAAACACTGAGAATGTTGTGATGAAGCCATGATGCCAGAATAGCCTGCACTGTGTCACAGTCAGCATGTGAGGATGACTGATGAACATGTGGGACAGAGACGTCTCTGGGTCGTCTGCAGTGTCAGTCTGTAACACTGAGCCATGTGTAGTGAGGAGGGGCTCATGTGACAGTACCTTATTTTGTAATATGGGGTCATGTGAAAATCTGAATGTCAGGAATAAACAGGAAGAGCAGAGACGACAGGCACAACAGAGTGTGATCCATGAGTTCAATAAAAATAGTTTTCAACACTCTAAATGATCCCTTTCTCTCCCCTCAGGCAGGCGCTAAGAAGGAGGAAGTGAGGACAGAACGTCTGTTTAGTCTTCTATAGGCAGAGCAGCTCCGTTTGGAGGATTTGTACTTTTGCACAGAAAGTCAGGTGTTATTCTTGGGATTAATTATTGGTATTTCTCAAGAATTTCCACCAAAACGTGCTCCCCTTTCCAAGGAAAGTATATAAAGGATCTTGGAGCCCAGCAATAGCAGGCTGAAGGCTATTCTATTTCTCATCAGAAATGTAGTTATTGTGCTGGGGTTCCAATTGGATCAACTTCTTATTCTTCCAATGTATGTTATATGAGATTATCCTGTTTCTAAATATATATATATATATATGGGAGGGTTCAGAACACACACATACCTAAGAACTGATGAGTGAGAAAAAGTAATTGTTCATAGTTGATATAAGTAATGATATGATGTGTTTATTATCTCACATTATTTTTCTTATTAAATGTTTATACCAGTAGCCATGTTTTTAAAGAACCACCACTTTATAATGTTGTTAATCCTTCACAGCTCCGCAGGACAAATGCTATGGAGGTAAAATGTCAAGTTGGTCCGGTTTAAGCTCTGTTTGCACTACTTACTGTCAGTCAGATGGTGCAACACTGAACTCAACTCTCCTGGGACCGACACACAGTGTAATCAGGCACACATGCAAATGTCATCTTTCTGCAGGACAATGAGGACCAGCTCTGAGCAAACACATGTTTGATAAGTAGCTCAGCTTGTTATCACAGAGAGATCCCTAGCATAACACATCATGCCTAGTTTCATTCGAAATACTACATACAGTTTGATTTCTGTTTCTGTCCATATGTCTATGCATCATGTCACTGTGTGCCTCTGTCCTGTACTAAGCACTGGGCCAGTGATTATGGACCACCATCACACAACATCAGGTACTTACTCTTTTCAGGGGCACTGTGCTTCTGAACCAGTTATAGTCAGGGGACACTTTAATCTCCTCCATCTGAGGACACATTCAGAGACAAACAGTCAGGAATTATAAACAGCTAACTTAAAACCTCAACATCTATTCAACACCAACACCTGACTGTTATATTAGCTTAAAAGCTAACTGTTAGTGTTAAGGATGAAGCACTAGTTACGGTGATAGTTCAATGACCGGATATAACGTTATTGCCTGTGTCTAAATAGGATTTTTGGATTAGGTTACCGTTTTCGTTTTGGTTGTTAATCACCGTGTCCCAGGAATGTTATCCATATCTAGGTAGCATTTTTTCCAGTGCTCGAGTCGCTCGCTAGTCATATGACTCCGCTTTCATACACTTCCGCAAAGCCTCTGCCACCGCCTACCATGAGATGAAGCCGCCTACCGACAACACAAGACGGCCTGTCAGTCTGCCACTGCCTGGCGTGCCTGGCGTGCCTGCCTGCCTGCCTGCTCATATGACTCCGCTTTCCCAGGCTAACGTCCAGAGACGTTTTAGAGCATTCAGAACACAGAGGCGTTACCCAGTTAGCCCATCTGGCCACAGTGTTGACAGGAAATAGCGTTTTGTAGCAGACCCCACTCACGTCTTGTTCACGGTGTATGAAAGCCCATGTGAGGCTATAGGCCTATGTTGTTTGATTTAAAAGGTATACAATTTCCCTTTGCACCCTAACAAACTATTTTACAAAGGAAAGCTGATTAAACAGTTTAAAATGTAATTATTTCTAAAAGGTGCAACTCATAACGTTTAGCCACTAGATGGCGCACACCCTTCCTCTTCCATTGCGCCTCATGTGTCACTTAGGACTAGCTTTGTAGCATTTGTTCTGTTATCATCTTATACCCTTAGTTCTTTTGTCCTTTTAAAAGCAGCTTCTACTGGTTTCTTATTTTACGTCAAACCCCAGCTGTTGCCAGTATACAGCTGTTATAGAATCTTAGCTTTACAGCACATCTAGCCATACACATTGTAAACATTCTATTCTGTCTTAGTTTTCTGCCTCCTTGCCAGTATACAGCTGGTATAGAATCTTAGCTTAAGGTTACTGGGAAAGGAAAACAAGTGGCCACCTCAAGATTGATTCTCAGCCCCAAACTATTTCAACTGATTCCAATGAGAATCACAAACCGCCATAATAAGCACTTTTCTGAGAAAAAAATCAACCGTTGTGATCAAGGATCACAAATTAAACAGCAAGTAAAAAAGTTGGAGGGTCATGTTTAAGGTAGAAACGTAAATAGCTTTGTGTCTATGTTGTCTATCTAGGTTTATGTGATTTAAATAGGCCCCACTGGACTTCTTGGAAAGCATGAATAAATTATCCTTTGGAAATAAAGTCAATTGAATGTATTCAAGCAATGGTTATAATTATGTACTGTAGTATGTTTTTTTTGTATGTTTTGGCGTAGTAGTAGTAGTAGTTGTAGAACATCAGCATTACATTTATTCTTAAGTAATTGTGAGTCGTTGTTGGCACTTGGCAGTACTGACTTTAGCCAGAGTAGCGCTGTAACATACAAAAGATTTAAAGCTGCCGGAAACAGGAATAATAACCGACGACGTCACCTAAACATGGATCCTGTGAAGAGTTGAGATGAATGTGTAACTGTTTATTTATGTAGATAACATACATTTAATGCACTATTGTTCACGGCATGGACAACATATATCACCATGCTTCATCAGAAACACTGCATCCTCCTGCCTATAATGCCGGCTATCTGGAAGCACCATACACCGCCAGCTTTAACATACCTCCGCAGTGCAGCGCGACTCATCAACAGACACAGCCGGACCACACTGCTCCACTTTGGCCACCGGGACCTGGGTATAACGGTAACCCGTACGGCTATAGGTGCGAATTCCCCCCGCCGTCTCCCGAAGGAGGAGTGGGTTTCGGGGGGCCTCGCATGCCTCTTCCTTATGGGTTCAACCCCTCCATCCCCCCGCCTCCTTTCGGCTGTCCACCCCCCGTACACTACCCCAACGCCCCGGTGAGCACATACAGCATCAGGGAAGCCTCAAGCTTTCAACCATTCACCGGTACCCAGCAGTATGGAGCCTTTCCTCAGACTGCCCGGCACGACTCAGGTCAGAAAGAGCAGCGGTTTGAGGGTTTCTCTGAGAGGGCAGCTCGGTTTCCTACGCAGGGTAAGGACTATGACAGGACTTCGGGAGAAACAACACAGCCTGAGGATAAAGCAGCCCTCCAGAGAAGGCAGGACCAGCAGTGGCTCGGACGGTTCTTAAAAGGAAAAGAGAGAACGTCCAGGACCCAGCGGCACCCTTCACCCCGCAGCTGTGCCCCGGTTGCAGGGCTGAAGGGGGCTCTGTGTGCGGCCGCTCAGCTCGTCTCCCGGCTGGAACAGTCTTGCGAAACCCTGAGGAACAGTGTGGAGGAAGAGAGTGTTTGGACGGACTCGTATTTATTGGCTTTAAATGTGAAGAAAGAGCTACAGGACAGTCTCGAAGTCCTCAGTGAAAGTGAGGGTTTAGCAAGCTGGAAATCTAAACTGTGCCGTGTTGCTAAGAGGAGGGCCCGGCGCCTGAGAGCCAGGAGCCGGCTCCAGGTGGAGGAGAGGGAGAGGGAGCAGCTCATCACTGAGAAGGAGGCGGCCATAGACAAATGGAGGATGCAGAAGATACACGAAGTGGAGGAGAAGAAGAAGGTACACATATTTGCCTGATGATTCAAAGCTGGATACAGTTTTTCTCTACTTTGGGGCAAAATAAGTTTAAAGAAAACATGTCATCACCTTTTAAAGGTGTTATAATGTGTTAGCAGACACATCTGTCCAGCAAACACAGAGCAACATTGGTATTCAGCAGAGTTTCACTTTTGTGAAAAATAGAAGTACCAGAGAGGAGGAATACTCTGTTACAAGTAAAAGTCCTGCAAAGTAAAGTGAAGTAAAAGTAGTCATTGTGCAGATTGGTCCATTTCAGAATAATATGATATGTTTTATAATGATTGATCATGAAGGTGTTCTCAAAGCTGGTAAAGGTGCAGCTAGTTTGAATGACTTTGTATACTGCAGGGTAACTTGTGGATTTACTCCAGGTGGAACTAAAGTCTGATTTAACACTTGATTAGATTTCACATCATTCATCCAGATCTGTAAAGTAACTAAAGGTATTAAATACATGTAGTGGAGTAAAAGTGCACCATTTACCTCTGAACTGTAGTGGAGTAGAAGTACTAAGTGGCAAAATAATCTAGTAAATCTCAAAATGGTACTGAATTACAGTGAGTAAATCTACTTAGTTACTTTACACCACTTATGTGTCCTCCTGATTAATGTCTAAATAAAGTCAAATATGAACTCGCGCTGATGACATGTCATTTAGCTGAGGCTTTTACCCAAAGCGCCTTTCACACACTTTTCAATCTACACGCCTACTATCTGGTCTAGTGACAGCGGGGGCTGGAGATCTGCCGCTGACCCTCTGATTGGTAGACACATTCATCCCCTGCTCCGGGGTCTCCAATGATAGATGTTGACAGAGAGGTTTCTTTTCCGGCATGTTAACATTTTCAATTATTTTATTAATTTCTATTCATCTCAACAATATCCTTAAAAAAACCGCACATCTAGCCATAAACATTGTAAACATTGTATTCTGTCTTAGTTTTCTGTCTCCTTTCAGGACTGTGGAGGGAATGGAAGTAGATTTTTGATGTTCAATAAAGCATTAAATGTCCTTTTATTATAACGGTCGGCAGGGGCAGTCTTAGGATTGAATGAAATAGTTTACGGGCCCTAATTATTCAAAAGATAAGAAATGGCTGTGCACAGATCACCTCATGCTGTGACTTTTCGTTCATTCAGACGAGCTGTTAACCACAGTGTTTGGTCGCCAGCAGGTCACAGGTAGGAAGGAATGGTCTGAGTTGACATGTTTCTGTTGCAGGAGAGGGAGCTGAAGCTGGCTGCAGACTCTGTTCTCTGTGAGGTGAGGAAGAAGCAGGCAGACGTGAAGAGGATGCAGGACATTCTGAGATCTCTGGAGAAACTGCGCAAGCTAAGGAAAGAGGCCGCTTCGAGGAAAGGTGGGTTTCAGCCAGGCAGCTTGATCCCATAGCAGGTTACCCAGTCGAAGAGATGGAAGTAAGCCCAGGTTTTTGGTTACACCTGTAGCATAAAGGTCACTTTTAGAGTTGCTGTGTCAGTAAAATGCAGAACTACACACCCACAATTGACTGGGTTAAAGAATCAAATGGACTGACTTCCTGTCATCAGACTGATCGCTATCGATGCGTCTCTCATTTGTCGCTGTGTTCTTGGCAGGGGTCTCCACTGAGCGACAATGCGACGAGGCGTTCAGCAGCAGGCTGGAGCAGCTGAGGTGTGTGATGAAGAGGAGGACGGGCATTTACTCCGCCGAGGAGAAAGCTCTGATGGTGATGCTGGAAGGAGAGCAGGAGGAGGAGAGGAGGAGGGAGCAGGAGAAGCAAATGAAGAAGGAGAGGGAGAAGCAGCTGCAGAGGAAACGCAGAGTGGACGCCATGTTGTTCGGGGGTAACGGCTCCCTCCCTCCACCTCAGCACTTTAGTCCATACTGTAACAGTACGGCTGACATACATGGCTGCTTTTATAATACTGTGACCCTTATTTCCCCTGTGTGTGTCTCAGAGGAGCTTCCTGCTGGTTGTGTCCTGCAGCCCTTCAGAGATTACTACACCCAGGCGGAGCACTCCCTGCACGCTCTTCTGCAAATCAGGTATCTTCATCTGCCCTTCAGCCTGTCATAAACAAAATGGTGGTAGCCGAAATGGACACATAAATAAATGTTTATGATGAATTACAGATATTTGTATGAGAAACCGCTCTATTCTACCTGTCTTTATGTCTGTGATGCTCTCCTTGTACTTACACAGTAATAGAGATGCTCAACAACAATAAACATTAAGTGATGTGTACATACAAGTAGGGGAGAGATCGCGTTACTTCTCAAATCACTTTCTACCCAGAGTGCAATGTGGCTGATGGTAATGCGACTGCGGTTCCACAGCTTCTGTCAATGTCTGCAGTGCTCTGCTGCTCCTGTCCCTCCAGCAATACACTGCTACTCCACAGCAGCTGCCGCTCCAGAGTGGTTACGACCTGAACTTGTTCATTTTCTTTGATATTTTGTTAACTTGCGAATTTTGTTTGATATTTGCTTCTATCAGTAATGAAGTAGCCCTTCAGATGAATGATACAAGATAAGTGACAGTAGTGATGTGATACGATCGGGGGTCTACAAGTGGTGTCTATAGAGTTATACACAGCTGTTAATATATCCAGCTCTTACTTTGCAAATATATCCATTTGGATCAAATTACTTATGATTCAAATATAGCTAATCATTTTTCTAACACAGCCAAACAGGATGAAAGTGCAACAAAACAATCCATATCATCAGTGATGGCATCATGCTCCTAGCAGCAGCCCTAAGATCCTTTGCTAGCGGAGGAAACAGAGTGTACGTGCTCAAAGCGCCCAGTCCTCAGCACTGTGCTAACAGCTAACTAACTGACGGCAGCTACTGTTAGCGGTTGTTACTTAAGCAACAAGTATCTCTCAGGAAACTGTCTATCCAAGAGGCAGAGCAGCCGGAGGTCATCAGAGGGTAAACATTTAAAAAAATCCAGTTTCACCAAAATCATTTTAGTGCCATAAAGTCCTTCGGCAACTCGTATCAAGTGATATGTCAAGTGAATTGACTGAAAATGGATTGACAGACACCTTTTAGTCACGTGATAGTGTGAAGGCTCACATGCCCTGCTGTCATGTCATTGACATGACATTGATTTGTGGGGCTGTGTTTTCTTTCAGGAGGGAGTGGGATGTTTTTGTGACTCCAGCGGATCATCCCGATGGTTCTGCGGTCCCTCCCAGCTGGATCCTGCCTGACGGCCCGTGTGACGCAGCCTGGGCCTCGGCCCTGCAGAGCGCTGACTGAACCCTGCAGCTGGAGCACTGCCAGGATCAGCCTGGCAGAACACATGTAAATAACATGTAAATGAGTACAGGTGTTAATAAAGGATTTTGAAGTGGTTTGTCTGAATCCTTCTGTTGACTTAAATAAGACAATGAGCTAAGGAACCAATTATATATTTTCCATGTGAAGTGCACACTGTATAACTGTTTGTCAGATCAAATTAAAGTTGACACTGATCATGTTTTAAATCGTTGAAGTTCCTCGAGTGTTACCAGAAAAAAAAATACTGTACACATAAGAAATACAGATTTGAGCAATTTATTCAAACTAATTTGAAAAACATGTAGTCATAAACATAGTTATACATAAACTCTTTTTGATTTATATATTTTATTAAATCACACATGAACAGCATAGCTTTAGTTCTGATATTTCTTTTTGGGGTTATATTTGTGTAAGGAGTGCACTAAGTGATACTGACAATGATGCTTTTCATACCCACGGTTGTTCCTGGAAGTTATTTATTATTACGTTTATGTTCAGTGCAAGTTCCTCGGAAAGGAAGTCTGAAACTGTTGGGTTAATCCTTTGTCCCAGTTTAAAAGAAAAACAACTAATATTAAAATATCAGGGAGGCACCGGAATCAGCAGATGTCGTAAATAATCAGACCTGAGGGAGGTGTGCAGTCTTGGTTTGGATTTCAGTGTCAGACAGCTGTAGCCCTGCTGAGTGCCTCACACTCAGAATGTTTGGTTAATATAAAGGCAGTCAGGACATTTTTTATGTTTTCAAAATGTAGATTATTATACCATAGAACCTCACATTGGTTTAGGAATCCTGCATCGGTTTGGCCTCCACATAAGAACGAGAGAAAATGGAGCTGGAGACAGGGAAGTGTTACATCACAGTGTTGACAGCAGGTTCCTGTAATCTGTGTGACGTCAGGCTGTGTGAGGGTGTGTGTGTACGGCACTGCTCCCTCTGATTAACCTGAGAGGACACTGCTGGGGACAGCAGCTCCAACACCACACAGGTAAGCACACATTTGTTTTATTAAAACATCCAAATATCGTTTAGGTAGGCACATGCATTCTACAATGTACTGTAACAAAGGTTCTTGAAGGATAAGTGCTGTTCATTTATTTTTCAGGGGGCAAACGTAGTACACAAATGACCAAAGCTGCCCTTTACTCCAACCATTTAACAAAAGTTACTTGTAAAATAGTTTACCAAAAGTCGAATCTACAGATACTGACCATTCAAATCGGCTTGCAGCCTGAGAGCATTCAAAGTATCTGAAATAGCTGATCAAATCACAACTGTTGTCTACGTACTGTTTATTTAACATTGATGATTGTTTTTATGTATACATACAGATATAGAACTATGGAGTAACAAAGGTCGGCACCCTTTCTATACAAAAAATGATTGATGATGAACAAAACCACAGCGAATGTAGATTGTTTGAGCAGGAGGAGCTTACTGCTGTAAACCATGTGCCAGTTCCTGCAGAGATTACCAGACAGACGGTGGTTCACTGACGGTCAGAGCAGCATGTTGATGTTCATGTTGATGAGCTTGCCTGCACCACTCACTCCTCATTGCATTCTGCGAAAGTGCCTCTTATTTAGCTTTCAAGCCTTTCTCAGATGTAACATTGTGCAAAGGGAATATACTGTTAAGTTCAAAGATTGTAATGTCATATACACAGCTACAGTGTAGTTAGGTGTTAAATAGTCCTCTTGAGAGACCAGGAGCCCTGACTGCAAATGCTTTATCTGCTCTGTATTTGTATCTGAAATCTGAAATGGTCCAGGAGCATCTGAGGATCTCAGGTTGTGGCGGGGACATAGGGCAATGACAGGTCTGAATTCATCAGGGCCGGGTCATTCTACAGAAAAGGTGGACTACTGTCACTTACTTTTGCAGATGTAACGGGTCACAACGGTAAGCGACCTGTTATCGATCAGGAAACACAGTGAAGCATCTAGGTGTCTTTTCTGGCGTTTATTCTGAGAACAAAACACAATATCCTCCTTAAATCCACGCTGTACATCCTCCGCAGCACTCACTTCAATGTCAGGGGAAAGCGGAAATGACATACAGGAAATAGAAAAAGATGTGCAACGGGAAAGTGTTCCCACCAGAAACATAACTCAAAAACATCAAAAGTAAACAATCTCATAAAAATAAAATTCACAACCCATTATAAATCGTAATTTATAACTATATTTATGTCTACACATTTTTAACTCTGTTACATATGTACTAAGTAAATACATTTGTTCCAGCTCAAGATTAGATTAAACTGTATTGTTATTGCACAGATTACAGGTACTGAGACAACGAAATGCAGTTTAGCTTCTAACCAGAAGTGCAACACGCAGTAAAGTGAAAAGTAATATACACAATCTACAGAATAAAATATAGAATGAATTGAATGATGAATAAACAGTGAGGGGTATGAATACACTAGATATACCCAACAGCCTGTGAGCAGTATGAACAGTGTGTATGAATACACTAAATATACACAGCAGCCTGTAAGCAGTATGAACAGTGTGTATGAACATGCTAAGATATATAAAGTATGAAAACGGTAAGCAGTGCAAGTATAGTATAAAATATATAGATATTAATTTCATGATGATAAACGTTGTGGAACAATGATGAAAAATGTGAATGGAAGTGGCGACGTAAAACTGATACAAAACAACAACAAACTTGTGCCGAGCCAATGGAGAGTTTCATCAGCAGCACGGGGTACAAACCACCAATGAGCGCTCNCGGCCATTGTGTGTGTGGGTGCATTGTGTGTGTGTGTGTGTGTATGTGTGTGTGTGTGTGTGTGTGTGTGTGTGTGTGTGTGTGTGTGTGTGTGTGTGTGTGTGTGTGTGTGTGCATTATATGGGTACAGTGTGTTTTTGTGTGTGTGTGTGTGTGTGTGTGTGTGTGTGTGTGTGTGTGTGTGTGTGTGTGTGTGCAATGTGTGTTGGAACAATGTAGGCTGCCATTGTGTGTGTGGGTGCATTATGTGTGTGTGTGTGTGTATGTGTGTGTGTGTGTGTGTGTGTGTGTGTGTGTGTGTGTGTGTGTGTGTGTGTGTGTGTGTGTGTG